GGGGCTCCGCATCGCTGCGCACCCGGAGCCGGGCCGGGCTGTGCGGCGGAGCTCGGAGGACGCGAGGTGGAGCCCGCCGCTCCTGGAAACCGCGGCTCGGCTCCGCGGCTCCCGCTCGTCTCCCGGGCGTCCGTAGACTTTGAAAGGTCTTGTGCATTCATGGGGAAAAAAAATAAATAATTAAAAGGAAGGGAACCCGTCCGTTTTCGACGCCACTTAGTAATTGACTTTGTTGTTGAAGGATAGTTGCGTGTTAGAAGCAGAATAAGGGATCCTTTTTACTAAGGTGACAAGGGTTGGGGAAGCTTTGAAAGCGCCGTTTAAAAAAAAAAATCACAAGGCTGGAGAAAGTGAAACCTCAAAAGATGGGGATTTCTCAGGATGGGATGTCAGATTAGCAATTCTTTTCAGAATATGGATACTTTGCAGTTCGGTTATTGGCCACAATTCATTTAAAACCGACTTTTCCAAAACGTGTACCAGTTAATCTTAAATTTAAATTTTTATTTCATCGTTTTGCATAATCACTGAAGACGAAGCCAACAGTTGAAAATGAAAGATCAATTTGTGATACTTAAACCGCAAAATTAGAAAATAAGACAGGGATTTGAGTTTGGCGTGAAAATTTGATGATTTCTTCCCGGTTACAGACAAAATTCCCTGAGAACTTTACTGTATGCCCAGATTTATCATCATGCCACAGATGACCGCTGTTTCACTGACCTACACCCATGGCTGGTGCTTTTTTTTTTCTTTTTTAAGAAGGTGGTAGCTGTTGTACCAGCTTACAAAGATGGCTAATGATTAAAAGACTGAAGTTTTCAACCCAGTGTAATATTTCTGCATCTTCTGCCCCCTTATTTGAACTCCTGCTTTTTCAAAGTACTTTTTTTGTGTGTTCTTTTGCTTGCATTGGAATTCTTTAATATATATGTATATATATTGGGGTGTGTGTGTGTGTGTGTGTGCGTGTGTGTGTATGTAAATACTTGTCTGTTTGTCACAGTGTCCATGGAGAAATCACAGGATTACTTGCAGGAGTTGGTTCTCGCCTTCCACCATGTTGACTAGGGGCATTGAATTCAATCCAGTTTCCAAATCTCACTGACACAGTACTTGGATTCTTGTTACATCTTTACTTCGTGCATTTCTCTTAAGATTTCTAAAAGTGTACACATAGCCTGGTGACGACTGTAATCTCAGTAGTTAGGAGATGATATGGGATTCCCCTCTGTATATATGCTGTGAATATCATTGGTTAATAAAGGAACTACTTTGGGCCTGTATCAGAGCTATAGGGGAACAGAGCTGGGGTGGGGGGGACTAAACTGGATGCTGGGAGAAAGGAGGCGGAGTCAGGGAGAAGCCATGGAGCCCACAGAGGAGCTGAAACTTTGCTGGTAGGCCACGACCTTGTGGTGGTGCGCAGATTAATGGAGATGGGTTAAATTAAGATGTAAGACTTAGCCAATAAGAAGCTAGAGCTAATGGGCCAAGCAGTGATTTAAATACTACAGTTTCTGTGTGATTATTTCGGGGCTAAGCGGCTGAGAACTAACGGCCTCCTTCAACAAGAAGGATTAAGTATTCCAGATCAACCCTGGCTACATAGGTCAGAAACCAACCTGAGCTACCCCAGTCCCTTTCTCAACAAAACGACAGCAAGTGGGGGGAGTGGCAAGCAGGCATTAGAGCTTTTCAAAACATCATAATTACTGTAGTTGAATTTTTGATAATTAGTATTTTTTTGTAACTTAGGTTCAGACTTGCTTAAAATGACAGATACGTTTGTTTTGCAGTCATCGTAAGCCCTTTGTTGTTATAGAATATATACATCAGAAATAGTTTTGTTATAACACCCTACCAAGTTGTCAAACTAGCTTTCTGCTCTTCCCCTACAGATTCGTCTTTTCATATGCATGACTATTAGGCTTCTGGTCTTGACAGACTCTTTTAAAACATCTACTTGCAGGTTTGTGAAGAAGAAACTAATACAACTGAGCATAAACACATAAAAAAAACCTTAAATTTTGTTTGAAATTTCAGTGCCGTAAAACTTTTTTTTCAACTTAACTGTCTTAGAGAAGTTTTTTGATTTTTGTGTTCATGTTTGTTGTGAGTACCTTTTCATGAACAGTCGTAGCTCAGTATACTTGCCTGTTGGTGCTCCCACTTCTTCAGTTGCTAGAAGAACAGACCTGCAACACAGTGCGGAAGGAACTGAATTAGAAAGGATGACGCTTCTGACCGGGTTCTGTGTTCTTGTGCCTTTCCCACAACTGTCCATCCGGTACCTGCTGTGACCCTAGCTTAAGATTTCAGTGTATTAGACAGGGCCACCCGGAAAACTTCCAAAAAGTGGTTCCCATTTTGTTCTCTGTATCTGAGTTCTGTGGTATCTCTGCACTGACTGTTGTGTTAGTGATCTGAGTTCTGTGGTGTCTCTGCACTGGCTGTTGTGTTAGTTGAATGAGCAGCAGATCGATACTTTTGGTGTCAGTGATTTCATACTGTTAGATGTTTAAATACCGAATGTCAGACCTTGTCACTGTCTTTCCTCTGACTTCAATGGGTCAGTGTATTTTGGGAGCTGCCCATAGGCATGATGGGTCTTTATTTTCTTTGAGCATTAGATAATTGAATTACTGATAATAGTAGATTAGATGAAATTAAGGTTTCAGAACATTTTTCAAATTAGCATTCAATTATTCACTGCTATAATTCCAGGATAGCCAGCTCCTGCCTACAATTTCATGAGGTAAGTGAGGCAGGTGTTATGAAACTAGATTTTTATTTAAATGTGTGCTGTCTCAGCCTTGCTTTCATAGTACAGTAGAAAGATATCAGCCGGATATCGAGGGAGCTGGAGAGATGCTCAGCTCAGTTAAGAGCTTGCAGCCCCAAGTTCCCAGCTCCCGTGTAAGACAGTAACTTTACAACTTCCAGTCACTCCACCTCCGGGGTGTCTGATGCCTCTGCCTTCCTGAGACTGTGGTGATGTGTTTGTGTTTTAACAAATAAAGCTTGCCTGAAGATCAAAGCGCAGAGCTAAGCCACTAGAGGCCACAGAGTGGTGGCACCAGGACTCGGGATTAAAGAGGCAGAGGGATCTCTCTGTTAGTTCAGAACCGCTCTGGGCTACACAAGATTGAATCTGTTCAAAAGAGAAACAACTCAACACAAAGGTGATCCCAGCAGTAGGGAGGTGGAGACAGGGTGATATGGCTGGGCAGAGAGAGGAATATAAGTGCAGTCTGAGGTTTGGTGGAGACAGAAGTAGTCTGGAGATGCAGTCTGAGGACAGAATTGCTCCTGTCTGAGCATTGGTAGAGTTAAAAGAACCCTCTAGCAGCTGGCTGCTCTGCTTCTCTGATATTCAGCATTAACCCCTATATCTGACTATGAATTTTTGTTACTAATGCCAATTAAAATTCATGCTACATACTCGCCTTTTCCACAGAAAAAGACCAAAACTGATTTATATGTTGATACTGATCAAGATTAGTAAAATACAGAATTGAAGACATTGTGGATCATATTGGTTAATTGACTCTCGATATTTGCACACTTAACAAACTACTGTTTTACCTACTCTGCAGGTGTTTTATGTTGTGCACAGAACTTAATTCCGTTCTCTTGTAATTTTCACAGGCAAGAACAAACTAGCACATAAAATTGCAATTCTGCTAAGTGCTGTCAGGGAAAGTCTTGTTGATAGGAGACTGCCAGTCTGGGATCAGGAAGATCTTTGAAGAAATGAACTTGGTGGTTGTGTCATTCCTCCTCAGACCCTCAGGAGCCCCATCTTGTTTTTTGAGACAAGGTCTTGGGACCTGGCACACACTGTCATTTCTTGCTTTTTTTTTCCTTTTTCTTTTCTTTTTCTTTCTTTTTTTTTTTGCTGTTCTTTTTTTTAAATTTATTTATTATGTATACAATATTCTGTCTGTGTGTATGTCTGCAGGCCAGAAGAGGGCACCAGACCTCATTACAGATGGTTGTGAGCCACCATATGGTTTCCAGGAATTGAACTCAGGACCTTTGGAAGAGCAGGCAATGCTCTTAACCACCGAGCTATCTCTCCTGCCCCCTTTTTTTGTTGTTCTTAGTGCTAAGGATTGAACTCGGGTCCCTATGCTTGCTTGGCAAGTACTTTCAAAATTTAGTCATCTGCTCACTCGTGAACAGAGATATAATGATAGATCTTTTCTGTAGGGCTTAGTAAGCCATGGCCTTATTGAAGGAAAATACACTTTCCCGAGAAGCCCAAGGCCTTTATTGACTTCAATGAATGTGTAGCATAGATCCTTGAGGTTCCAGCTAGCTTAAGAAAGGCCAACTAGTTTTAGTGTGGAAATTTTTTTCAGGGTACAAGAATGGAAGGGAATATATGAGGGAAAGGGCTTTTTATAGTTGTTCAGCTGAGAGGTAATAGAACTCGGAAATACAAAGAGGTTAGAGAGGTTTTCTAAAGGTAGGTAATTTAGCAGGCTGAGGTGGTGGATTTTATTTGGCCCTCTGTATCTGTGAGATCC